ACGCGGGTTTTTTAAGCGAACCTGGCTTCCCCCATTCTGACCTTGCTTGTCAGAAGGTCACAAAAAGGGGATCGCCGGATCACAGCAACCGTCACAAAGGCGAGTCCGTTGCCTAGCCTTTGGTTTTTGATCACATGATCGTGGGGATGCTGCACGAAGAACGGTCGTGAAGTCACATTTTTCAGGGCCGTGGTAACTTTGAACGGTCACTAAACAAACTGTTGTAAGTCAAGGTGATTCATAGTTATGACGGTCATGGTGTCCCGGGGGGGTCACGTGATCCCCTTCTGCGACCTTCTGATAAGCAACGTCAACGGGGGAAGCCAGATTCACTTAACAACCGGGTTGCTAACTTTAACAAGTGCGGCGATTCACTTCACGACGACGGGAAGGAAGGTCGTAAAATGGGGCATACCTGACTTAACGAGTTTCTCAGTGAACCACATAAATTGTGGGCTCAACTGTGATCGTAAGTCGGGGACCTGGCTGTGTCTCTTGTCGGGACTCTTCATTTCTCAAGGACTTCCATGGCCCAGACCGTCCCTCAAAAAACAAAATGGCGGCACCTTACCTGCCCAACTCTTTCCACATTGAAGTATTTCCCTTTACGGCTGTAGAGCTCTGGGGCCTAGAAAGCAAACAGGGAAGATGGCAGACAGACAGATGGCTTAAGGAGAACTGAGAGGCAATGGTTTTATTTTTAAATTCTGAGAATTGGGCGAGCTTCGAATCAGCAGTCAAGACTTGACTGGGAAGACGGTTTTAGTCCCCAGCCTTTGTTTAATCAGTCAACAAATACAACGTATATATATATATCGTGCCTTTTTTTAATTGGGTTTTAACAATCCTACATAGCATGGCGTGCCAATCTTGGCAACTTTAAGATGCGTGGACTTCCACTCCCAGAATTCCCCAGCCAGCCATGATGGCTGAGGAACTGTGGGAGTTTAAGTCCCTACGTTTTAAAGTTGCAAAGGTTGCTGTATCATCACACAAAACAGCTTTAAGGGAAGTGGCCTAAATAAATGTTTAGCTACGTCAAGATGACCTGAACCTGCTCTTTTGAAAGGAAAATATCTGCAAATAAATAAAATAAAGTAAAATAAAGAATAAAATAAAATAATAAAATAGTAAAGTAAAATAATAAAATAAAATAATAAAATAATAAAATAAAATAATAAAAAATAAAATAAATAAAATAAAATAATAAAAGTAAAGTAAATAAAATAGAATAAAATAATATAAAATATAGAATAAAATAAATAAAATAAAAGAATAAAAGAATAAAATAAAATAAAATAAATAAAATAATAAAATAATAAAAAATAAAATAAATAAAATAATAAAATAGTAAAGTAAATAAAATAGAATAAAATAATATAAAATATAGAATAAAATAAATAAAAAATAATAAAAGAGTAAAATAAAATAAATAAAATAAAATAATAAAATAATAATAAAATAAAAGAATAAAAAATAAAATAAATAAAATAATAAAACAGTAAAGTAAATAAAATAGAATAAAATAAAATAGAATAAAATAAAATAAAGAATAAAATAAAATAATAAAATAAAATAAAGTAAAGTAAAATAAATAAAATAAAATAATAAAAAATAAAATAATAAAACAGTAAATAAAATAGAATAAAATAAAAGAAATAAAACAAAATAATAAAATAGTAAAATAAAATAAATAAAATAAAATAATAAAATAATAATAAAATAAAATAAATAATAAATAATGTAATAAATAAAATAATAAAATAGTAAAGGAAAATAAAGTAAATAAAATAAAAGTAAGCTTACTTCATTGAAGTGCTCCGTGAGAAAATCAGCCACAAAAGTAATGTCTTTCTGTGTCATCTTTGAGAAAAAGAAACAACAAATCATTACAACCACAAATTTACATTTCGCCCATCTACACAAAACGCAGCACAACGAAACCAACAGCTGTCACAATTCTGCAAAACCGACAAAGCGCCAGGATGACCTTTTCAAATAATAACTTGGACAGGGGAAAAAAAAAAAAAAACCAAAGCAGTAATGCAATAATATTTTGAAAAGGAAACGTAACGAAAACATCATTAAGCTAATCCTAAAATCCTTTTGACGGCTTTTGTATTGAAACAAAGTCGGCTTTTAAGAGGAGGAAAAACATAGAATCATTTTCTAAGAATAGCCGGCCTGGCAGCTTAAAAGGCTATTTTAATGTTTAGTTTACGAAAGGAACTGCTTGGAAGACACGGAATTTAACAGCAGGGTGACTCTGCAAAAAGCTTAGAGAGGGCTGTGAAGCGGTATATAAGTCTAAAAGCTGTTACTATGGCTACTGATGGACCAGAAATATTAGAAGCCTCTCATCTGTGCGCATAAAACGGACGACATGACGATTACCTTGTTCAGTTCGGGAGGAACATGATCCTCTGACATTCGCAGCATGGCTGAAAAATAAAACAAAAGCAGTGCGACCCACAATTGGAACCCTAAGTTTCCCTTTGTTAAAGAAGGCAGCTGTTGAGTGGGTTTGGCCGCCATTTTGGGGTCTCTGCTTGAGCAGGGGGTTGGACTAGAAGACCTCCAAGGTCCCT